TGACGCAGTTTCAACTACCGGTCAAGTGGGTGTCGTCATTTCTCTTAGTCCCTGGGCTGAAGCTGCCCTACTCGATGGGATCCTAATGAACGGCAGAATGCGCTGTCAGCTTGGCTGGCTCGGCCAAAGCTTCGAAGTCTTGTGCAGACAAATGGTGCCTGGATGTCATGTATCAAACAAAGACGCATGAACTGAACATTCAGTCAGCGCCTCCCATTCGGCGCGATTCCCTTAATTCGCCCCGGTGCCTTGCGGGTAGGTTATTTAGCCAAACGTTTGGGATGGAATTCCCTAAGTCAACTCCCTACTTCGACTTGGGTAACCGGGTAGTATCACGCCCTCTCACAGAACCATGGACTACTACAACGTACTCATCAGCTACTGTTTCTGCTTCTCACATTCACGCGACTTTATCACACGCCACTTGTTTGCTAACAATCCTCACTTTCCGTTACCCGATTCATGTGTACAACAATCTAGCTGCGATTCCGGTTGTGCCGCGGACCACGATGTTCAACCTATGGCTCTCCTTCGTCCCCGATCCTCGTTCCGTCTGGCGTGCTTCAGTGATTGGACAGCAAGCCTGTCTAGTGCCCACCCTAGAGTCCCTAGACATTGATGTCTGCTGCCTATCAGAAACCCGATTGTAAGATCTCAGCACTGTGCTTACGTTGATATCCCCCACTGACCACGAAGCCATATATATTTATATATTTGCAAAAGTCTGCTAACAGACATAATGCCATCAGACACCATGGGATTCAAACGAAAGTACAGAAACAGTACAATAAAACACAACACAACAATGTCCATGGTTTCCTCAGAGGGCGAGATACTACCCGGTTGCCCAAGCCGAAGTAGGGTGTTGACTTAGGGGACACCACCCCGAGCCTTTGGCTGAATAGCCTGCCCGCAAGGCAGCGGAGCGAATTCAGGGAATCGCGCCCATTGGGAGCTGGTGACTGATTGCTCAGTTCATACGCCTTTCGTTTGTTCCTTTGTCAAACAGGAGCCCAATTCTCCCCAGAAGTACAGCATAAGGCTGCTGGAATACAATGCTTCGCCAGGTTGAAGCAAGGGACAGTGACTTTATTTAGTGGCGAGTCACGTCCGCCACGTCACAGTGTTGTTAAACGGACATATGTGGCTTTTTATAGGGAGAACGCTTGCCAGGCGAAAACCCACCACGTCCTGGAACACTGCCGCCGAACCATTTGCTGGAACGGGAAAATCCCGAACCACCCAGCTGGCACCACGAGGAGGTTGTTCGGCAAGCCAAGCCACGAAGCCAGATATCACCTGTGTCTTTCTGGTGATCCAGAAGCAGCGTCAGCGAGTTTGGCTGGTGTAAATATGACACTAAGTGACAAGGCCGAGGCGGCACTACTGGACTGGTTCCCGATTAACAGCCGACTATGTGCAGTTCGGCTTCCGGGTTCATGTAGAATCAGCAACCACCGCGAAGAGAGACGCAACTTGTTTGTGATCTCCGTGTACGCTCCAACTGACTGCAGTGGCGACTCGGTCAAGGACGAATTCTACCGAGATCTACATCAGCTCTTGACTCATGCTAAAAGGTCGGATGTCGTTATCCCTGCTGGAGATTTTAATGCACGGGTTGGCTGCCTGTTACCAGACGAACGCCACCTGGTGGTCGTCACGCGCTCGATGAGAACCGCCCTGATAACAGAGAGAGGCTTCTCACATTGTGTGAAGACAACCATCTTTTGCTCCCGAGCACTAACTTCAGGCGTACGAAGAAGCGTTCCGCAACGTGGCGTCCCCCTTCTTCAACACAACCGTGGCCTCAAATTGATCACATTGCAATTAGTTTCAGATGACGCGGCAGTGTACTGGACTGCAGGTCCTTTTGGTCCACCTTCGTTGACTCAGATCATGCACTGGTCTGCGCGAAAATATGGATGTGTTTGGGGGGTCACGGAGCACCACAAGATTGATGTAAAGAGATTAACTGATTCCTCTGTCCAGGCGAGCTATCAGTCTTCACTTGCATACGCACTCAGTTGCAACCCACCGCTAGACGTGGAGTAACACTGGACTTGTATACGGAAAACAGTGACCCGTTACCGGACAGTCAAACTGCGGCCTAACTCGACGCCCCTTGAAGGCTTGGATCTCTGCTCGTTCTTTGGAGTTGTTCGAACGTCGCAAAGATATCCCCGCGGAATCAGATTGCAACGAGCGGTGCCGTTCTGCCAACCAGCTGCTCAAGCAAAGCCTGCGCAAGGATCGCGAGACATGGTGGTCTGAACGTGCTTTAGAGATGGAGACCACTGTCCTCTCTCGCAACACTCGCAGGCTTTTCCAACTCATTCGGTCCACTGACCTCAGGAAGCCTGGTGTCAGTGAGGTCATTTGTGAAGTGGATGAATCTCCGATCACTAACCAACAGAGGCGTATGGATCGCTGGGCCGAGCACTTTCACTCACAGTTCAACTGACCTCCATCATCCATCACTACATGCAGTACACATTGTTGTCCACCCTGGCTCTCCCCACTGAATCCACCCAGCGAAGCGGAAGTCTGCCTCGAGATCCAACGCTTGAACCGATTCAAGGCTGCCGGCTCAGACAGACTTCCTCCGGAGTTGTTCAAGTACGGCGATGTGGTGATCTTTAACCAGCTGACTTCGCTGTTCGCGAAAATCTGGCATGAATAGAAAGTGCCTTCTTCTTGGGGCGAATCAGTTATTGTCCCGATTTTCAAGAAACGCGCTCGCACTTCATGTGTAGATCATCGCGGGATCAGTCTTATTTCGGTTGCCTCCAAGCTATTGGCATCCATTCTGCTTCACAGACCATCCACAGTACGTGAATCATACTACCGTGAAGAACAAGCTGGTTTCCTTCCCGACAGCGGATGCGTGGATCAAATCTTCACGTTCCGCCAGCTCCTCGAACCTCGCCACATTTATCACAGGCTCACTATCGTCGCATTCCTAAATATGCATGCCACTTTTGACTCAGTTGATCGATCTGCTTTATGGCGTTGCTTGCTAAAGAACGGGGTGCCAGAGAAATATACCGCCATCTTAAGAGCACTTTACCTTCATACATCCGGCATAGTGAGGGTCTATGTCAAGCTTTCCTCGCAATTTGCTGTCAATAGCGGTGTGCGACACGGCTGCCCTATGTCTCCATTCCTCTTCAAATTCGCAATCGAAAACGTTCTGTTGAATTCTTTAGAAGGTTTGCAACATTTTGTCTTAGAGCTTCTACCGGGTGAGCGCGCGACCGACTTAGATTATGCTGATGATATTGCCTCACTTGGTGACGATCCTCAGAGTATGGAACTCATTCTGGATCGTTTGGCGGTTGAAGCATCTAAGTATGGCATGAGCTTCGCCCCATCGAAGTGTAAAGTACTGCTCAAGGATTGGCTTTCACCTGCTCCTGTGCTCACTCTCGAAGGTGCACAACTTGAACAGGTAGATAGTTTCGTCTACCTCGGGAGCTGTGTTTCTGCTGACGGCACTATCAACAAAGAAGTTTCTCTTCGCATCGCTAAAGCTCGATCAGCATTTGTCAACCTGAGGCACTTGTGGCGTCGTCGCGACGTCTCATTCTCGCTAAAGAGCCGCGTTTACAGCGCATCAGTTCGCTCAATATTGTTGTATGGGTGCGAGTCTTGGCCGATTCGCGTGGAAGACGTGCGTCGTCTTTCTGCCTTCGATAACGGTTGCTTAAGGAGGATCGCGCGTGTTTGGTGGCAACATCGAGTTAATAGTAATGACGTTCTACATCGCATCTTGGGGAATGCGAGTATTCCCTACAACAAACTGGTTTTGTTGCGCCAGTTGAGATGGCTCGGTCATGTCCTATGCATGGCACCTGAGCGTCTACTGCGTCGCGCTCTATTCGCTCGTCAAGGACCTGGCTGCAAGCGACTGCGTGGTGGTCAGCCTCCCACTTGGCTGCAACACATGAAATCGCTGACGTCATGTCTAGTCGTTGTTGGATCCGTACGTCTTCCAGGATGGGGACCCAAAGATGAGGAATGCCAATGGCTTAACACTCTTGAAGATACGGCTCGCAACCGGAATCAAGTGGAGGACTTGTATACAGCATTGTATTGATTCACGTGTTTAATACTTCAAACATTGTAAATGACAGAAAAGAGGAGAATCGGCGTGTGGAAAACAAACTAAAAAGGTTTTGTTCTACTTTTGTCAGAATGTTCCTTTTTTCCTGTGGCATAGTAGCTGAAGTGTGTTGCTCACCTTCAACTACTACGCTACAATGATTATGACGCGATGACTGTCCCTTGTCCGTTGATCTCCATGATTTTATGTTTGTTCTGTGTCAAGTTGATAGACTGCTGAGATTACCACGTACCATGGCATCATCTTGCACATACAGTTGGTCATGGGCCAAACAAGGAAGTATATTCTCCTTCGGCCGAGTCTCGTAGGTTGTTGCGACATCGGCACTCCACCACCTACGGGATGTATGTCTTAAATTCCATCCTCGTAATGCCGTTGCCATCTACTTTGCGCATTATACAGGAAAATATTCGGAATCCTTGACCGGGTGCATTTTGCACACTCGGCAGTTCTGCTCGTTTTCAGGACAGTCGTCCAAACAGGCTGTATTCCTGGTGATGACCGCTGACTCTGCTCTGACGGGAAGAGGGAATATCTACAGGGACCGATTGTCATTGGATGTTTCAAGCCTTGTGTAATGCACTCAGCTGTTCACGACAAATCAAAACAGGCCAGCGTTATCTTAAGAGCTTAACATGACTACTAGGAGGGTGGATATTGTAGCAGGTCCAAAGGTATTCTTGTAACACACTATGATGAGAGCTCAGTCAGATTCGCTTTTACGACGGCGGTTACTCTTTTCTTTTCACTTTCCCATTTCGCCCCCGATACTATCTACATGCTTCTGCTCTTAGCCAACTTTCGTTTGACTCAAGTTTCTCCGGGTTGTTGTGGCAACCGTATATAACTGCCTATTGGATGTTTGTTTTTAATTTCAGCCTACTTTACGCAGTATACTCGGAAGCATTCCTAATCCCAGATCGGATCTGTATCACACTTCAAGGCTTTGTTGAACTTTTCTCGATGTCCCTCATCAGGTTTGTAATATGTGTTTTTTCTAACCCTGCAAATTAGTCAGTTGCCCGCACCTGTGCTTAGAAAGCCAGTTGATGAGACCAAGGGTTCACTTCCAGTTCAAATTAGCTCCCGGGTACTTGTTGCAAAGTCTGTCATTCCTCCGTATGGCCACCGAAAGAACTGGGTCCCACGATCAGCGGAAGATTTCCTAGATGGTGGCGCCTATCCCGAAATTCATGTACCCCAGTTTCCTCTCAATATGGGTAAACAAAGAGAAGCCTCTAATGCCCTCGCCATAAAAACTGACCAAGATGGAAAAATTCGTTACGATGAGCTCATACGTCAAGGACACAGTCGCGATAGGATCATTTATTCCAAATTCTCGGATCTTCTGCCGAAATCTATTGAAACGAATGACCCAGAGTTAGAAAAGCCTAGCCAGGAAGTTATTCAGGAGGTGATTTGCGTATATTCTTTTATTCAAGTTTAGACAACTGAAAAAACGCGTTTGGCTCTTGAGCTCCTGGTGGAGCAAAAGGTTGCAGCCGCTGCGCCAGTTCGTCGGGCTGAAAAAAGTGCTCCCGCGGAATATATCCGTTATACCCCTTCGCAACAGGGTATCGCTTTTAACAGCGGTGCCAAGCAGCGATTGGTGCGAATGGTGGAGGCACAAAAAGACCCTATGGAGCCCCCTCGTTTCAAGTACGCTCTTTCTCTTACTCATGTGACGTTTCAGAATAAATCAAAAAATCCCACGTGGTCCACCTTCTCCGCCACCGCCATTAATGCACTCACCGGCGCGTAAAGTCACCGTTAAAGAACAACAAGATTGGAAGATTCCCCCATGCATATCGAACTGGAAAAATCCCCGCGGATACACTATACCATTAGATAAGCGCGTAGCTGCGGATGGTCGTGGTCTTCAAACCGTACACATTAATGAAAACTTCGCCAAGTTGGCGGAGGCTTTGTACACGGCTGATCGCAAAGCCCGCGAAGCCGTTGAAATGCGTGCACAAATTGAGCGCAAGGTCGCACAGAAACAAAAGGAACGAAAAGAAGAGCAGTTGCAGAGAATCGCACAGCAGGCTCGGGAAACTAGAGCTGGCCTTAGGCGCCCTGGTGCTCCTGTGGAGGATGTGGGCGCTGATCCAGGTTTAGATGATCGAGACGAGCTGAGAAGAGAACGAGCAAAAGATCGCGTTCGTGAGCGCAATTTAGCTCGTTCGGGTCTTGAAAATAAGGCACGGGCTCAGAAGGAAAAAGACCGAGACATAAGTGAGCAGATTGCTCTTGGTCTACCAAATCCGCGAGCTAATGCTACCGATGAAGTGCAATTCGACCAGCGACTATTTGACCAATCGAGGGGCTTGGACTCTGGATTTGCTGGGGGTACGTATCATTTTAACTATACCGTTTATTTTCAGGAACTGATGATCTCTACAATATTTACGACCGTCCTTGGAGAGGCGACTCAGAATTAGCCTCCCACATCTACCGACCGAGAGAGAAAGATAATGACACTTACGGCTCCGATCTAGATGCCCTCCAGAAGACTAGGCGTTTTGTTCCTGACAGGGAATTTGCTGGTACGGACCGCACTCGCCGACTAGATGGACCAGTTCAGTTCGAACGCGATGAGGACCCTTTCAATCTCAGCAAATTCTTGTCAGAGGCTAAGAAAGCTCAGAAGAGACCGGGGGAGGGCGTTTCCGGCGATACCAGCAATCGTGATACCACCAGCCGGAAAAAGGATCGTAGAGACTGAGCGTTTTCTTTTGTTTCTTGTATATACATTTGTCACCTTAATTTTACCTATCCCGATAATTCCTTCTTTTTTCTATTGAGCGTTCGTCGTCGTTACATTGCGTTTCTGCTGCGTGAAGAAGTTCTCACCGCCTCTGTGTATTCTAAGACTGCAGTCTGCTGGGAAATTATGCACTCGTTTCGCTTGTTCTGTGGAATTCACCCGTTCGACTTTTACCATCGAATTTTACTGTGATCAGCCTTCGCTAGCTCTTCATCTGTCCTCACCGGTTGCAGCCAATTCGTTTATCTTCAAATTTTCCATGTACCTAGCATCATAAGTTTTGGTCAGTCATAAGTTCACTGTTAATTGCCCTGCCCCTCTATTAGGTTTTCCTGCTATCTTTGTTTTGATATCTCACCCTTACTGGTGCGCACGTAACGTAAGCTCAGGACAGCAGTTCTGCTTTACTGAATGCAATCCTTAGATTCTGAAATTCAAACTGGGGCTATGAATTACAGTCGAGTTTCCCTGAACCACCGCCATAGGACTTGTATCCTGTTAAGCATTTATCCCATCTCACTCCCGTTTTTACTATCTCTTTCAACTTTAACCACCAGCTTCGGTTTGGTCGGGATCTCCCTTCATCTGTTGCTTTATCTTAACTCATAAATCTTTGGGGATGCGTGCCATTTCTATCTGTCTGCCCATAGCTATCAGAATACTACCTGAATTTATGGAATATCTGTTACCAGGATTTATGTATATCGTTTAAGGGCTCAAGACATCTTAAAGCAGTTCTGGCTAGGATTCTTAGAGTCAGCCGAGGAGCTGCTGAATAGTGTGCGCTCTGTGTTTGGGCCCGTCGATGCTGATTTTGAAAACGGAGCTTGTGTGCGGCTAAGGAAGCCTGGTGGGACAAAAGGTTTAGGAATGAGTGGCACCGGAACGGTGGGTAACTTCCGCTGACCCCAGGAACTGATGCGTCGGCAAGGAAATAAATACAACATCGGCGCGCTGATTCACCATTTAACTCTTTGATCAGAGCACTTTCGAGAGTTACTATCTGCTCATGTGGTGCTACCTGAGCCATGGGCGGTTATTTTCATGGCTCCACCAGAGACTGGGATTCGAACCACGATTACAACTCTCAATCGTTTTCGCGCTACCGGTCCAGATGTTCTTGCAGCTGCAAGAACCTGCATAGCACTCATTCTCTTGTTCACGCAGGCATGGAAGAAAAACACAAATCCAGTCAGTTGGGCTGAATCGATCATAGTGCTAATCTAAAGGGCAGTCGCGCCGTCTGTACAAACTACAGGGCTATCAGCTTGACATTAGTATTGTCAAAGTTACTGGCTTCATTTCTTGCCTGTTATTGGTCGTTGGCCGAAAGGATCGCACGCTTAGTTTGCAATCTTTAGGTCACCAGTTCGAAACCGCGTAGGAGCGGGCGTCCTCGCAGTATACTCAGCCCACGCGCGAGCTGTGCTGGTCACGTGGCAGTGAAGTGTTGGGACAATGGCTGGTGTACTGCTGTTTACTTTTTTATTACGGAACGGGAATTTCGTATGGGGGAAGAACAGAGGCGTTTCTGTTAGAAACGGGGCTGTGTGGATCATATTTTCACAGATGTTGATGCGGCGTCGCACGTACCATAGGCCCACTATAACTGTGTTCCACAATTTCAAGGGTACGTTCGAATCAGTCGACCGCGCGCGACTGACTTGGACTATGCTGATGATATTGCCTTACTTGGTGACGAATCACAGATCATGCAGGTCCTTCTAAACCGCTTGCTGATTGAAAGTGCGAAGTATGGCATAACCTTCGCTCCATCAAAATGTAAGGTCCTACCCCGGGATTGGCATACACCTGCCCTCGTGCTGATTCTTAAAGGCATGTAGCTTGAACAAGTAAATGACTTCATCTACTTTGTGAGTTGCGTTTCTTCTGGTGGCACCATTAAAAGATGGATTTATCTCCCTATTACCAAAGCCCTATCAGCTTTCCCTGATCTGTGGCCTCGTGACGTTTCCTTCTCGGTAAAGGGCAAGGTCTATGTTTCCTGTATTCGCGTGGTCCTGTTGTATGGATGCGAGTTTTGGTCAAACCGTGTAAATGATTTGCATAAGATTTCGGTCTTGGACAATGGTTTTCTACGAAGGATAGCTCGTGCGTGGTGGGAACACCATCTTATCAACGGCGATGTTATTCCTCGCGTCCTAGGTAATACGGGTCTCCCTCTCGACAGGCTAATATCGCTACGTCAACCGAGATGGTTAGGTCACGTCCTGCGCATGCCGTGCGAGTGTTTACCACGGCGTGCCCTATACGCTCGCACAGGGCCACACATCCCATATCCAGTGTAAACTCCGAAGGAATAAGACCGGGAGGCATGTGGATGGGAGCCACGTTTTATCTATGGAGTCGACTCACACTCCTTTACAGGCAAACACAAGCACCCTGTATTTGGGGAATCAAGCGTAGTCCGCTCCACACTGAGGGCATGGAACCACTCTTCGAGTCCAACACGACCACAAGGACCGTGCACCTCGTCCCCTCCAGCAACTACCAACTGTCTCCTGGAGCCAGTATGGATGAGGTAGTAGGTAATAGACAGGTAGGCACCTTGTCAACATGCATATCAAACGCAGCCACACCGGGGATATAAAACAACATCCAATCACTTGAAACGATAAGATGAAATAAAATAAATCGACTAATGCATACAGATACGGTGGCATAACTGTTCGCTAAATTACCATATGAAGTAAGTTAGTAACGAATCCGCGATAAGTAACAAATGTCCACAAGTTACTTAAAAATACTATGAACGCAACAAAGTTACCGAAGATAAGCGCAATCAGCGTAAGCAACGTGGCCAGTTAATAGAATATTATTCGGGTAGGCAGAACAAACCAAATAAAGTGGAGTGAAATTTATCCAGTTTAAAAAGACTTAGGTTAAGTGTACGTTGGTTTAGCCCAACTGCAGTGAAGAAACATCAAGAATGCAACATCAGCCTCAGCATGGGGCACACATACATACATGGTTGGCGGCATCTGGTTTCGGATTTGCCTGTCACTGTGGACAACCACAGGACGCCTACGCCTACAGAGGGACCATCGGTGGCTTGCGCTGCACCACCCACAACTCCAACCACACACCCCATATCTAGTGTAAACCCGAAGCAGCACTAGAAGTTCGTAGGTCGGTCTTGATTGCTGAGCGCATGCCTGGCAGTACCATCGGTAAGACTCTCGTCCAATGAACTGCGTCAGCTGAGCTGAGGGACGTCTTGTGCTGCCTATGGAGGCGCTTGACCTTAACTTCCGAAACGCGATGGTAGGCAGTAGTGCAAATATGATGATTACCTGACACTTTGGGCGTCTAAAAACGTACTAGATTCAAACTGGGAGACTATCAGTAGTCGCACTTACAGAGCAACCTTGAGTAGCGATCGACAGATGCTCGTGTGACCGTTCCAATTGCGATGTCGGAACTCGGTATAGCTTCGGGCCAACGTGTGCAGCGCTCTATCATGGTCAAGATGTTGACCATGCCCTTAGACGACGCAAATGGTCCAACCATGCAGAGATGAATGTATGCGAAACGAGCGGAAATTGCGGGTGAACGGCCAATCGGAACAGACACGTATAGCTGAATCTCGGCTTTATGACAGGATGGGCTACCATGTGCCCAGAGCCTGATGTCATATTGCATGCCAGGACAGATATATCGCTCTGAAATTAGCTTAACGGTCGTTTTGATACATGGATAAGCGATGGAGGGCGTCCAAAAAGTGACGAAAAGATACGGGGACGACTGAACGAGGATGTCCCGTGGATGAATCGCAAAGGATGACGCCATCAGATGACAGTAGTCGGTGCTGAGTGCTTTTCAGAGAGGAATCTGACAAGATGGCATGGCAATTATTATCAATTTGTTTCGCCGTGTCCATAGCAGACAAGTCGATTGCCTGCCCCGCTTTTTTCATCCAGTGCATCATCATCACCTGCAATACACGTTAGTCGAGGGTGAGAAACACAGCTAATGTGCCGCACTACAAAACACTTAAGAGATTACACATTACAGACTACAAAAGCTGAAAATGTATCATAATGCTAAAATCACATCATGCAATGGGTTTCAGCTTTTTGTTGGAGGGGGAAGCTAATGGGATGGGGAGGGACAAAGAGCCTCATAACCCAAACGCCATGTCAGCTAGTGTATCCAACCATCCATTGCAAATGCTACAGAATGCACAACCTATGACACAGGATCCAGCTTGGTGTGGCCATGTTTGTAAGCGAACTGGTATACATCGCCTGTGCCCTATGCTGAGGCTGATGTTGCATTCATGATGCTACTTCATCGCAGTTGGGCTAAACCAACTTACACTTAAACTAGATCTTTTTAATGGGGATAAAATTCATTCCACTTTATTTGGTTTCTTCCGCATACCTTACAATCTTTTCCTAACTTGCACACATCACTCATGCTAATTGTGGTACACTTGCGTAACTTTATCACGTGCTATTTTTTAAATACTTTCGGACATTTTGTACACTTCTCGCGAGTTCGCTTATAACCAAGTTACTTCATATGCTCATTTAGCGAGTATTTATATCGTCATATACGTTTGCTTTATTCGATGTCTTTTATTTGATATCGGCATTTCGAATGATTGGCTATTGTTTGACATCCCAGGTGTGGCTACGCTTGATGTACATGTTGACGAGGGGTCTATTACCCACTACCTCATCCATACTGGCTCCAGGAGACAGTTGGTCGTCGCTGGAGGGGACGGGGTGCACGGTCCTTGTGGTCGTGCTGGACTCGAAGAGTAGTTCCATGCACTCGGTGTGGAGCGGACTACGGTCCAGCCACCACCTTGTGTGCGATTGATTCCCAAATACAGCGTGCTTGTATTTGCCTGTGAAGGAGTGTGAGCCGGCTCCATTGATGAAACGTGGCTCCCATCCACATACGTCCCGGTCTTATTCCTTCGGGTTTCCACTGGATATGGGGTGTGTGGTTGGAGCTGTGGGTGGTGCAGCGCAAGCCATCCATGGTCCCTCTGTAGGCGCAGGCGTCCTGTGGCTGGCCACAGTGACAGGCAACTCCGAAACCGGATGCCACCAACCATACATCGCCTACATTGGTGCGTGTAAAAATCTGAGGGGCAACTAGTTTCTTGAGGACCTTCAACACCACCGATGTACATGCGATTGGACGATACTTGTGGGAGTACCTCCTGGGCCCAGGCGTTATCCTTACAGGTCTCCAAATGTTAGGGATTGTGACGTCCATAGGACATCGTTTAAAACTGGCGGTTAGAGGTTTCGCATGATAATCTGCACAGTGCTTTAGTACAAATGCTGATAGCGTATCGGAGCCAGTAACATTATTTATCTTCAATATTTTGAGTTCTCTGTAAATATGAAACTGTCAAAGGTAACTACCGGAACTGTATTA